TTTCCAAAGACCAATCCTACTTTTCCAGTTTGCTGGCTTACGCAAATTCTGTAAGATGGCTGTGGATCAAGATAAGGCCGTGAATGTGTTTTTACTGACTACCCTAAAGCATTCGTTTTGATTCCACATTCTTGCCTATCACTTAAGCCTCACCGAATGGATAATTTTAACATGCAGTTTGAAGGATGTTGGCCTTTCTCGGGGATAGAGAGAATTTCATCCCAGTTTGGTCAAACATATTATTCCGAAAATCCATTTTTAGTAGTGCTCCACAGGGATCAGTCTTACCGCCATTGTCGTTTGCACTGTATGTAAATAAACTGCCCGAAAACTTTGATGTATAGTCCCTTGTGTTTGCTGACGAGTTGCCGCCTTGGTATTCAGTGACCAGTTTCGATCGTCCTCAGGGTTTATAACGGCCTCTTTATAGCATTTGGAATTGGTCCATGTTGTAGCATATGCCCAGCTACTGTGCCAAACCTCCAGCTCTACGTCGATGGTGTTGTGACCTTTCAACATCCCAGCTTCCTCTGCTAACTGTCATCAGATATAAATTACAACGAGAACAGGAAGAAAGACACCAGTAGCGGGTACGGAATGATGTGGATGGTTCGCAGGTATTTGGAATCATCACACTAAATGTGTTTACCAAATTGTCCTTACCTTTAGTTAGAGGATGCTTAGAGTGTTGCGTTAAGGTTTCCCTATCACGCTTAGTTCGTGATAGGATAGTAGTGAAGCGGGTCCTGAGGAGCTGCACCAACATGAAACTTGTCTTACCCGGAGTGGCTACTTAGGCTTGCAATCCTTCGGCGACGTGATTAGACTAACGGAATACTGCTAGGGAAGTTTGGCGCTCATGTGTACTTCTTATAAAGGCAATTCTACATAACCAATTGAGAACTTTGCGGAACCAAGGATCTGCTGAAGCTTGGACTAACTTTCGGCTATCACGTAGAGTGGTTAATTTCTGGAATGCGTCACCCGAGGGTGCTATTTAGCAGGAAAATAACCAAACGGGCCAAACTACATGACAAATGTCTCAGTCTATAAGTAAGAACGATAGACCTCGCCTTCAGTAAAAGGCGATCCTTGGTAGGTCATTTGTTAATCACAAAATCCGGAGTGAATCACGCTACTTTAGTCAGCAGCATAATTAGTCGTGGTAGATCCGATGTTCAGTGACTGAGGCAAGCAGACTGACGATTCACAACACAACACGCTTAGCTCAAACCAAGAGGCGAACCGAAATTCTAAAAGGGGTTCACCGGTTTTCGTCAATTAAAAACTGTACACTAGTAATGGAACGAGAATAGGAAGGTACGCATGAAGTGATAGAATCGCACAATAGCACAGTGGTACTGTTACAAAGAATGAAAGAACTTGCTTGTCGAATAAAAGCCTGTAGCGTGTCTAAGGAGCGCAAGAATAAATGTTACTAGATATCCTCTCTTAACAGCCACTGTCCACAGCTAATGTTTCGGTCTGGTGAAATTCACGACAGTTGACGAACCTGATGCATCCGGTTTCATAATTTTATAAGTAAGATTTAGAAGTAAATATTGCATGGTGTACGGTTCCGCAAAATTCCACGGAGTGTCTCTGGAACGTCTGCTGATGTTACGTACGCCTTGAGCAAAATCTTAGCGTCGGGTTTGTAGGAACTTTCGAAAGCGTAGCGGTCGATTAATACCATATTGCTTCGCTGTCAGCTTTGCAAATGCGGTGGCAGACGGCGTGACTGTATCCACCCTATGTGAGCATATGATACTAAAGGTTCGGGGTGCGAAACCGGCAGTAGCAAGTCAGAGAGTAGCCGCAGCTTGCTTCCCGTCTTCTAAAATGCGGCATTTGGTGCGTCGATGTAGGACAGACCCTTGGTAAGCCAGCAAACTCATACCCATTCCGGGTAAAGTACATCTCCCGGTTGAACACCGATCAACCGAAATCCCTAGGCTTACTATCCTTGTCTACTAGCTAATGTAATGTGTTGTTCATGCGAGCCACTTGTATAACTTCCAATAGTCTTCAAATATTTTAGAACCTTTTGCCCATACAAAAACAGTGCTTACCATTGAAGGATATATAACCGCAACATATTTGTCTTTTAAGAGCATTACACATTATCGGAGAGAAGAGGCGAAGCCATCGATCACGTATAAGGGCTAAATGTCTTTCCGTTGCACAATACGCAGCGCAATTTGATTGAGATCACAAGGCAGATACTTCGTATTCAGCGAGACATGTGTGGCTCTCCAGGGACCCAACCATCTATTAAGGTGGCGGGATACCACTTTGTCAATGATAGGTCGGGTGTCTAACACGGCGGTAAGACGGGTACCACTGTGTGTAGGTCAAAAATCTGGCATGTCCACGGCAAAAATATTAAACGCTTGGCCACATTTAACCATCGGTGCTTGCGGCTAATTGCTAAGACGTGGTGGAAAACTGCATGAGCAATGCTGATGTTCACCAGTTGGTTGTTGGCAAGAAGCCATCTAGTGCCTCACTCCAGTGTTTGCTGACTGTTACTTGCTTACGTTAGCTAGGCCATGTCCTCCGTATGCCCGTTATCCGGCTTCATCGGCGGGCATTATAAACCGTGGCCGCGTCAAGTTAGATGAAGTCTGTGAAGTGGCCAGTCCATGACGTGGGTTAGAGACACGAATCATTTGACTTAGGGAATTGGTCAAACCGCTGCGTAACGTCTTCGTGTATGGGGACGTCGAGATGGTCCACACCGATGGTTGGAGATGCTATCATACATGACACAGTCACTCAGTCAGTGAACTTCTCACAGGTGGTTTCTTGCGGCTGCTAGTTAAGATTTGTTCCATTCTGTTTGGTAGAACGCACACGTTCTCGCTTGCATTTCCTTTACCTTTTACTTGCATTCAACCACACTATCTTACGGTTATGATTGATTTCTTTGCTTGCGATGTGTTGTGGCAACCGAGTTCACCGCATATGTGTGTTCGAGGCATAATTCCTCTTTTTTCTGAGCTACAGGAAACAGCCTCTCAGCGTTTTAGCGGAGAATAGCCCCACTAGGTGTTTTTAAATGCTGAACAATTTTGCCATATCTAGAATTACGGTTTGCTTGCAATTGCTTAAGTCTTAATTTTAAAATTTGCTGCATCGCCTATTTCAGGTGTCTTAGCTGTCCATCTCTCTTAATATCCATCCAAATTCATTACTATAGGCAGCCTGTTTCATCATTGTATTATTTGCTATATCTCGATTTATTTCACCACAGTAGCATACGCCGATATAATGTGGCTGGGTTTCCTAGCGAATTATCCACACTGTGGAATTTAATGTGGACCCGGTGATAGGCTTATCCACACACTGCAACACGAATGAAACAGTAAATTTTCCTTGCTTCTTTGTGTTGGATTTTGGGATCGTTGCCATAGTATGAGCCTATGATACGAGTGGGTGTAATCCGGTTATTTAGCAGTTTCACGAACAAATCTGATCCAGCTTCATTTTAAGGTGCAAATCAATTGCCAAATACTAAGTGTGAACCGAGTACTTTGTTGCTTTTCCTAGTAGAATGTGTCATTTAAAATTAGCTTTCTTCTCCACTTCGGTAGTGTGCTTGTCGTCCTTGCAACTCCACTCGTGCTCACAGTCCACAAACCCGCTTCCGTCAAAGGAGGGCGTTTACGCACACCAAGTATGACGTGTACAACACAAACCGCAAGGTCTTTTCCTTTCATTCTTGTTATGGTTAGCAATATTCGCAATGACAGTTAGAGGTAAGTTTAATTGATTAGATACGTACCCAGCTTCGATATGATCAAGGATTACCAGCTGCGAGAGCTTCGCTAAGCTCACTTTTGAAAGTTTCAACAAATGGGTACTAGTAACTATTAACATTCCAATCAAATAGGACCCAGTCGCGACCTTAGAATTAATAAAAGCAGAAAACAACCGTTACCATAGAACTACGAGGCGCTGCAAGGTTGTTTTCTCATCGACTTACTAACGTGGTGGTTTTGCCAACACAAAATCCCAGGAGACAAATTCTTTTTGGAAGAATACGAACCTAACACAACCTGACAACCTTTTTAGTAAGCTGTCCCCTGACGCACATTCCGTTGAATTCAGCTGCCGTGAAGATGGTTTATCAAAATTACTGGAAAAGATCCAATTGTTTCAGAGAAGGAAAACATCTGAGATCACAAACTCTTTGCGGCGCGTCTTTACTCTACTATGAAATTATTTCTTGTCGCACTCCTAGCGCACTTAATACATCCTTATGCATAAGTTTTCAGGGTGGTATTGTAGTGACAACGAAGACGAGAATCATTGGCAACACGAACGGGCCGCAAAAACTAAGGATGATTAAAAGTACCGAGGACACCGTAGACGGAAGTCGACAAGGCAGCTCCAGGCCTACGTGGCAAGACAGAAAGGGGCAATGAACGGCAAACGATGTTAGACCCAGGCCGGGAAGAGCGCGAAAGGTATTGGTGAAGAGCCCGAATTTCCGGAGAGATATACGTTTGGTCGCGTCACCAGTAATAACTACGAGGAGAGGGACGTAGCCTGATTAGGTGAATCAAGAGCATTAAAACGTATCCAGCCTAATCAGAATAGAACGCGCGGAAGCGAATATACGAGGGAAAACTAGCGAACGCCGACCTATTGGATGACGGAGGTCGGGTCATGAATGTGACGCCAAGCGCAAGGACAATGTGTGCTGCGTGGTGGTAGGAAACTGTCCTCTTTAGGCGCGTGCGTATGTACTAGCAAGTTAACCCGTTGAGGGTTGGAAAGCAAGACTGTTTGCCCCCACCGTTGTTCTCGCCACAATATGAGTCTGTTTATAGGCGAGACTAATCCAGACGTAAAATGAATGAACGTTAAACCACAAAAGGTGAGCAATTCCAAATTTGTTTATTTAGGAAAGAAAATGATGCTCAGCTGTTAGAGTACGTACATCCCATCTTGGTTCCACACTTCCGTGGCCTTCCTCAGACCGCATGCTCTTGCTAGACATCTAATTGAGCGATTGTATTCCAAATCCATTCGTGATAAGCAATGGCTGACGTGTATATGCCGACACCATGCCCACATTCATCTTGGCTGCCGAAACTCGTCACACCAGTTAGAACCCATTTGTTGGTGTCCGGTAGTTTGCAAAATAGGCCGCCACCACTGTCACCTTTGCAGGTATCCTGAAAAGCATGGACCAGGAAAAGTATAATCAGATAGACAAAGTTTGCTTGCATACTACTTCCAAGCAGATCGATGGAGATCTCATCGGTTAATTCATGATCAAACAAAAGTCACTCAGAGCAAGCTTTGTCGTACTTGTTATAATGGAACCTTGAGCATCAACGCACACCCAGGTCGACCATTGCAATATCCAATGATTTTATTTTGTCTCTTTTTTACTTATCAAACGCAACTCGGGACGCAGAACGAAAACACCCTACGGGCCAAATAGTATCTGTCAGCCATAAAATGTGCCCGAGTACAAATTGTCCATGCTGCCTATTTCACAGATGTGACTAGTCAGTTATTTTATATGATTTTTTCCCTGTTCCTTAGGAACATAAATCACGCGGTTCGAAAATTTGTTCGTTTTTACATGTTTAAACTATGTACAACCACCGGTCGGTCTTCATAGCTGCAATTATTATAGCTCATTAATGCACTCGATCGACGGATCGTAAGAAACGTTAGTTGCCTATTAAATCACTGTAAATATGGTTATTACATAGATCAGGAAATAAGCGTATAATGAATAAAGTGCACTTTCAACAAACGTAAGTGGAAACTTTATAACGCCTCACATCTCAAACGGCAGCTTGAAAAAGCACATGCTTTAATAAACATAAAAGAAAGAGAAACTTAGGAAGCTACGAAATTAGTTTATATTCAAATATTCTGCACTTAACAATGATTGGTTTTAAGTAAACCAGTCAATTATTGTGCCTAAACTTAAGACCATTTTCCTTTTATGTATATACTTTTGATAAATCGGATGCTCCAGTTCCCGATTATGTTTGACGGGACAACTTATCAACTTTATTTGCCAACGGATGTAAGATGTAAATGTCTGTTGCACTAGAGATGCCTATGGTCAGACTACTTCGGTGTTAAGAGTAAGCAAACCGTCGCTGCCTATTTCATGACATATAGGTTGAGGGCTTTCAGATGGGATACGTATTGCATGCAGCTGATATGCAATTTGTAGAAGACTCTACGGAGTTTGTTTTTCGTCCAGCCGATCACCCAGAGTGTATTAGAGGTTAGAAATCTGATATCGAGGTCAGAGTAGAGGCGTGCGGCCACAAGTTCTCAAACAGCGATGCTGTCATCTTGTTTTCACATCCTGTAATCTCTCAGATTGTATGTATCACTTACCCTCACTGGCGTGTTGATGTGTTCTGTGACACTGTAGGAATCCACTAGTGACCCAGGTGCATAATGTAATGGCTACATCAGGCCATTGAAAGTTTCTCGTAGCGCCATTTTCTGTCGATCCTCTTCACCTCAGCACTTCTACTTAGTAGCAACTAGTGGTCGAGGGCTCCACGTAGCTCTGCATATTCGGAGCTTGCTAAGTGCCACCCTCTTTCATCCCCAACCTTCATTCTTCTTGACTGTCGGCTCAAATTCATTTGCAGTCCGTTGACTTATCCTGGGACACTTAAGGTATCCACTAGCCACTAGAAGGCTTCACCCAAATGCCATTGCTAGGTGCGGATACTCCCTATCTCACCTTGTATCATTATCAGTTCTTCGCGTTACCTACGTCACCAATTTCCAGCTGCAGCTAGTCATTGCAGGTAGCATACATATCTACGCTAGAAGCCACTCTGCATCTCTCCAACTTACTCTCTTGAATGGTTAGCATAACATACCTTCACTGGTTTGTTGACTTCTTCTGTCACTGTAAGTATCTAATAAAAAACTAAATGGTTCAATGGAATTCCGTTGCTGCCCACTGGTTCTCTCCCTTAGCACAATTATCCTTCGTTCTTCTTATCTTCATTACGTTTACTGCAGTGACTCATTGTAGGCTCCATATATCTTTGAGCTTATCCGGAGATACTAGGAGACATTCCTCGTTTCTTCATCCTGTAATCTCTCAGAATGTCTGTATCACTTACCTTCGCTGGCTTGTTGATGTGTTCTGTGACACTGTAGGAACCCACTTGTGACCAGTCTAATGGAATGCCTACTTCTGGCCACCGAATGTTTCTCGTAGTACCAGTTTCTGTCGATCCTCTTCATCTCAGCACTTCTACTTAGTAGCAACTAGTGGTCGTAGGTTCTATGTATCTCTGCACATATCCGGAGCCTGCCAAGTGTAACCCTCTTGCATCCCCAACATTCATTCTTTATGGCCGTCTGTGTCACATTCATTTGCTGACCGTTGACTTATTCTGGGACACTTTAGGTATCCACTAGCCGCTAGAAGCCTACACCCCAATGTCACTGCTAGTTGCGGATACTCGCTATCTCACCTTGTATCATTATCATTTCCTCGTATTACTTATGTCACCACTTTTCAGCTGCAGCCAGTCATAGTAGTTAGCATACATATCTACGCTAGTAGCCACTCTGTATCTCTCCCACTTACTCTCTTGAATTGTTAGCATCACATACCTTCACTGGTTTGCTGACTTCTTCTGTCACTGTATCTAATAAATAACTAGAAGGTCAACGGAATTCAGATGCTGTCCGCCGGTTCTCTCCCTTAGCACAATTACCCTTCGTTCTTCTTATCTTCGTTACGTTTACTGCAGATATTCATTGTAGGCTCCACACATCTTTGAGCTTATCTGGAGATACTAGGAGACATTCCTCGTTTCTCCATCCTGTAATCCAGATTGTCTGTATCACTTACCTTCGCTGGCTTGTTGATGTGTTCTGTGACACTGTAGCAATCCACTTGTAACCAAATAGCCTAATGGACTGGCTACATCAGACCACCGAAAGTTTCTCGCAGCGCCATGTTCTGTTCATCCTCTTAAACCTAAGCACTTCTGCTTAGCAGCAACTAGTAATCGTAGGCTCCACGCATCTCTGGAGCTTGCTAAGAGCTGCTCTCTTCTATCTCGAACATACTTTGTGGCTGTCTGCGTCACATACATCCGCTTTTTGCTGATTTACTATGGGTAATTAAGGGCATACACTAGCAACTAAGAGGCTTCATGCAAATTCCATCGCTGATCACTGATACTCACACTTACAGCGACCCTAACTGTTCCTCGTCTTACCTCTGGCTCCCGTGTTTAGCAGCAGTCCTTCTTCATAAGCTACTATCATCTTTGTGCATATACTGAGCTGCCAAGGTCCACACTTTTTCCCTCCAAGCTTTAATCCCTGGGACTGCGTGCATCACATACACTTGCTGTCTGTTGCCCTAATTAGGTGTCCACTAGCAATTATAAGGCCACACCTAAATGCCATTGCTCATCCGTGACACCTAATTGGCCGTAGTACAGCTCTCTCACGAGCTTCTCCCGGCTCAGGCCTCCTTAATTATACTCCATTAACACCACCGCATGATTTGATTAGCTGCACGTCGATGCGTCGTAGTCTATTATGCTCTAACTATCTAACAACCTCTTTGTATGCTTGCGCTTTACTTGTCCGCTGCCATTCTACCACGAAACCACTCTTAGCTTTCTTCTGTCGTGCAAACATATCCAGGTATTCAGCATAAGCCGCTCTTCTGCCACACATTTCTAGACCTTTATCTACCCACTACTTGCTGTATTGTCTTAGGCATTTTTTACCTGCAATACTCCAAGTCTCGGGCTAGCAGTCCATGCCTCTATCCAGCTAGGCACTATTACCCTAGCACTCTGGCTGCTGCGGTTAGGTCTCAGGTTCTGATGTCCACAGCAACCTTAATGTACGCATATATTCTGGCTATTCGCGGTCCTTCCGTCAATTAGCCCTTCTTAGCTTTTTAATTCGGCCCTCTCTCACCTGGTCAGTACAGAGACGCCCCTTAGCTTCTCATTTACAGGTGTTCATTCCTCAATTATTCGTTGCTATTTTTGCGAAACTTACCCATGTATGAGTCCAAAAGACTTACTGGCTTTCCCTGGGTCAGCATATTCTACGCTCCCCAGCGAAACTTCCCACGCAACAATTGCATCATAGCAAACGGATCCTGTGTTTTCTTTGCTTAACGGCGCAACGCTCTGCATCCAAGGTATACGGTAGCAACCAACCTATAGGGCTTTGCTTCCGATGAATATTCAAAAGACACTTTTAGCATAATCATTGTTACACATTGTACATCATATGTTTCCTCTAAATGTTAGACCATAGGACGTAAATAATGCTTGTTCCCACGTCTGTTCTTTGCGGCCCTGTTTGTCTCTCACCTTCCCTTTCTCCGAGGTCTGGAACTTCTTGGAGATCTGGGATCGGAATGTGAAAGAGCTTGTGCTTGGGACAGGACATAGAAACCCCCAAGGACCTACATAGAACACGGCTGTACAACAAGTGGATAAAAATGTACTCACTACCATGACCGTCGTCCAGTAATGGTAGCTGGACATGACGCCTTTATACTCCTGCGAAGTATACATAATCCTGTAAATTCTAGAAGCAAGAAACGGAAGTTTTGCTCACCTGGACACGAAGATGACGAAGGTCTAACCCTCCATAGGCCTCAGCCATTATGGCCGCCGCGAGCAAAAATAACCTGTTCAGCTAACAGAGGAAATTAGAAGGCAATTGACGGTGGTTAACCGAGTGTTAAATCAGTCGACGAGCTGCTCTGCCAGTTTTACATTAGTGTACAAACGGATTTCTGACAGTGTTTCAGGACGTGGTGGGTTTTCGTCTGGCAAGCGTTCTCCCTATAAAAAGCCACAAGTGTCCGCTTAACAACACTGCGACGTGGCGGATGTGACTCGCCACTGAATAAAGTCACTGCCCACAACTACATACTGGCAAGCCGACCTGAATCCTAATGTAATATTTTCCTGACAAGTTTTCTCTACAAACGGAATGCCCAGCCTGTTTACACTACGACCACTATAACCCAACTTGTCGTCATGTTTTGACGAATTTATACCTCAAGATTAATTTTACAATTTCCAAAGCTTGGACAACTTTCGGCTTATTGCCGATTACATACATAGCAACGTGTTTGTTGCGAAACATAAATTGCTTGTAAACGTTGATCATGCCTGGTCAGGTGTGTCTCGGAAATTCGAGAATATACTATTTATTTATTTATTTACTGGTGTAATAGCAATTGTTTTTTATGAAAGTTCATTTTACACTAAGTGTCGATGTATGGAAACAAAAACAGCGTTGGGATGCAAAAGTTGTCACTTCGGAGCTCATCATTATGTCATGATAAAATCAAAATTATGCTGAGTACATAATCATACACATTTGGTTGGTCTACTCTCGCTAGTTTTGGAGGCGTTGCAGATTAATAAGTTTTTGGTAGGCAGATTTTATTCTGAAATTCTGTTGTTCGCGCTTGTATAAAAGCCAGCAAAGTAGGACGTGATTTACAGTATTTCTGAGCGACTCTGCGCATCTTGCTTTATTACACTGGTAGCAAGAGTGAAACCTGACCGTCTTTCTACACGGTGCAACAGTCATTTGTTGGCTAGATATCAGGCTACTCTACTTACCTTCCCCTTCAAACCGGCACAGACTTGGAACTCGTCTCGCAGTCTTTTGTGATGTTTTCGACACTCGTCTGTTGTCAGCAGTGGTAGTCTGACCTCCTGCAATTCGTCCGGCTCTGATATGATGCTTGTGGACCAAAGATTTTCAATAACCTTTTGTTCCTTCGAATGTTGTGCCTGAGATATGCTGCCCGAGGAAACGTTTTGCACACTGATGTTACCGTTCATACTTGTCGGCACATCGCCCCACCCGACAGCGTAGCATTCAGTGTCAGTTTTGAATTCAACATTCTCCTTCGGTAGACAAACGTAATTGACCTCCGGTTCTGCGGAATAATGTTCAAGCACTATTTAGCATGGTACAATTGCCTTGAAATTGCTACTTTACTATGTTTACTTAAACATAATAAAAGTAAACCCTGTTTAATTCGCTAGCATAGAGTTTGATTGCTATTGGTATTGTACCAAATCAGCACTATGCAATTAAGTGAAAATATTAAAGAAATTTGCTTATAAACTTCTTACCAGGCCCTTAGGTTCATTACTAGCTTGTTAGCATCAACCGTCGTGGAACGGTGCGAAACGTATAAAGTTTGATATCCTTATCCCATGTAGAGGAAACAAATTAAATCTAGACACGTTAAGATAGTTGACTTTTCTGGTTAATCCCGCAGCGACACCAAGGTGATTTCAAATGAATTGTATTTCCTGCGGCATAATCCGTGCAATGTTTGCTTAGGTCGTACTATTCCTTTATATTATCAGTTTGTTTGTGTGTACGCACTGGTTTGCCTGAAGAAGCCTAGTGTCCAACAGCATGCGCAAAGAAGTTTCCAATAATGTATACTTTTTCTTTGGTGAGGATAACTTAAACACGAAGTAGTAAACAATGAGCTTTCCTTTTTACCTCATTAAACGGATGCATGTCAGTTTGGTGTATTTGCAAGCTGGAGGTAAAAAATAAATAGGAATACTAGCTCAGATGCCTGGATATTCTGGTTGACATAGCTCAGTAGTTGGTTCCAAATATTAATTTGGAATATGAATGAGGCTTTCCAACCCACAACCTTTGGGTTAAGTGGAAGATTAAAGACCCAACTCTAACCGATTACTTAAGAGCTCATAGGTCAGGGTGGTGGAGCAAACTGGGGAATGCTTTGGTCGTTGTAAGCAGACGGCATCTAAACACTCGCGTGTGCTGTCTGGGTAAGTGATTAATGAAATGACATGCTTCGTATAGTTTGAACCAATGGTTCGAAGCAACCAACTGTACGAACCCGGCGTTTGTCGATGTATTATTACCCCGATATACAGCCAAGTTGGACATTGCTCCTCGGCTCAATCGGATAGTCCCCCGTGGGTTTGGATTTGTATGTTTTGTCATTAATTCCTCGGAAGTTTTGCCTGCCGGTCAACCAACGAAACCAGCTAGTTTGCTCACTATTGTTCCTGCGCAAGCTATGAATCAAATTAAATAATTTTCCGCGAGGTTTTAACATTTTTGCTTTACGAACAATGAACAATGATCTATAACGGGTAAAAAAGCAGGTGCTTCACATATCCTGTAGGGTGTTTAGCGTGCCAAAAAAGTTAGCGTAGGGATAATGGAGTCGTCAGTTCAGGCTATTACAGATGTAACCGCAATGTAATATAAAGTGATCTTGAAATGAGCATGTACGCACACAAAGCAACAAGGGAGTGATTATTATTCCCATCATCGGCGAGAAAAATAAGCAAGATATCAAGGACAGCACTTACTTGTGTGCAACTATCTTGGATCGACAGGATACAGCAATCCAGTTTCTATAGTAGTAGCGTTTATCAAATTACGTGGAAGACGTTTGGAGGGACTTATTCTCGGGTAGGGTTGTGGCACTATCCCCTGTCTGTTGTGCATTAGTGCCAACAGCTGGTGGTCATGAGCTATAGCATGTAATGTAAACGTGACAGGGTATCGTAAACGCATTTTTTTGTAAAGGGATAGGGTGCGTGCATTAATTACATTTTTCGGGAGGGCTTTCCAACACTGTCTCCCTCGAATGGAGAAATAGTTTCGCCGACATTCCAGGCGGCTGTACTGCGTGACTAACTTAAACTAGTGACCTAATGGCGAGGTGTTTGGACTTAGTATTAGAAGGGAATGGCATGGGTGGTTGGTGTTTCGCAGGGTCTGGTACACCATTATGAGATCGCCCTTTAGACGCCGATGACATCCACTGTATATTTTGAGGGTCTTCAGCCTGAGTGGGTAGGGGAGGCTGGTCAAACCCCTGACGCTCTTCGTTGCCCTACGTTGTGCAGTATCGAGCCCGGTGAGATGGTGCCTGAGTCAGGTTTGTCATGCTTGCATAGCGTATTCCGCGTGCGGCCTCACGTAAGCGCTAAGCATTTTTGGAAAGATCGAAGGATCAAACTTCCCGAAGGCCCTGCGAATAAGGCCGAGGTACTGGTTTCTTTCTTAGCTGCCTTTTCAGCCTGCTTCAAACAACCGAAGTCATCTTGAACTGTCACGCCGAGATCGCCCACCTGAGAGGCCGGCTGTAGAATTTGTGGTCCTAGGCGGTAGTTGCGCGTACTCCCGTGCCGTATACTGAGAACTTTGCACTTGGTAATGTTGAAATGCAGCATGTTCTCGATGGACCATATGTATGCTTTGTCCAGGTCCTCCTGTAACACTGTGTGATCCACCACTGCAACTATGTTGCACCATACCTTTAGGTCATCAGCAAATAGCAAGCAGTTAGGAGATAGCAGGCTTGCGAGATCGTTTATGAAGGCCAGGAGCAGGCTGGTTTCAAGCACCGAGGCTTTAGGTAAGCCGCACTTAACTTCGATGGATTCTGATAGGTTTCTTTTAACCCACACATGCACGTGACGTTGCAAAAGAGAGTCTCCTATCCAGCCCAGAACAAGATCGCCAAGTCCATATTTCTGCAGCTTGTGAAGGAGAATGCGATGATCTATACGGTCGAATGCCTTTGAGAAATCTAAGTAGGCCGCGTCGACTCCTGCACCAGCGTCCACAGATTCCGTCCAGTTTGCACGAGCAAGCAAAAGTTTAGTTGTAAAGGAGGGAGTTTGGCGAAACCCATGCTGTTCCGGAACGAGAATTTTGTTGTTCTCAAGGTATCACATTAACGTCTCAGCAGCGATTGACTTCATAACCTTGGTGACCACAGGAAGGGGTGTTATCGGGTGATAATTTGTTGGTTCAGCAACGCTACCACTTTTGTAGATAGGCTTAATGATTCCGTGCTTCCACATGTGGAGACGTGCATTTCGTTCAGACATCGTTAAAAGAAAAATGCTAATGGTCCTGCCAAACTGCTGGCAGCAACTTACAATGCTTTGGACGAATGCCTTCCGCACCCGGGGAGCTGAAGTCGCGCAGAGACATCAGCCTCTTCAGTACATCTGCGGAGGTGAACGATATGTGATTATTCCCTGATGGCGACGTTAACTGTTTTGGCAGGATGTAAGATGATTGCGCGCTTTGGAAGGTAGGGCCGAAATTTTGTCCAATAACGTTGGTAGCCTCTTGTGCGGTTTGGGCTAACCCGTATGCTATGTGCAGAGCAGGAATACCGTGCTTAACACGGCGCAACTCGTTTACGTGTCTGCATAGCCGTTTGGGATTGGAGAAAAACTTTTCCGCTAGACCATTTTGGTTCTTCAGTTTATCCTCCCGGACGAGTTTGACACACATGTTCCTGTGTATTGTTTAGACATCCCAGGTATGATCGTTCGGGGCGGCTATATAGGTGTGACATGCCAAGTCCCTTAATGCCATGCACTTACGTGTCCTGCTCCTTACGAAAGACTTCATCCTTTTGGTCCGGTAGCTTTTGGTTTCAGATGTCCTTGCCACGTGTTTGGTAAATATGTTGACGAATTAACCGCAAACCTCAACAGGAGTTAATTCAGCTAAGAACAAACGGCTGGTTGCATCAATGTGGTCGGACAAGTCTTCCTAGTTGGTTACGACACGATATTCCTTGGCATGCTCTTTAGGATAATCCGCTTAGAACTTGTACTAATACACTAGTGTCGCATGATCACTGCGGCACAAAGGAGTATCGGTTATCAATCTCTCTACCATTAATTCTTCGTTGGTGAATATTCGGTCCAACATGGATGGTCTGTCAGTTTCCCTGAACATGGTGGACGTAGTGACGTGGCCATAAAGAGGGCAGTCTGAAACCAGATCTTGCAAATCTGCTTTGAATTGCTCTCCTGGTGTGGCCTGCGGTGCAAAGGCATGTAAGTTGAAGACATCGGCAAGTAGAATGGGACTGTACTTTCTGTTTATCACTTGCCTCAATGCAGACATCGAATTGCAATCCATCTCAGGAGTAGACGATGGTGGGCGGGAAACAACAACCAGTAGGCCACGATCGTTCTCCCTTAGCCGGGAATTACACCAAATGGCGTGAGGTACGTCAGTTTCCAAATCGTTTATGGGTTCGCATTGCATGGTGTTCCGATAATAAGGGGCTACCCCACCACATTGCTGGTTTTATCCTTCCGGACAACGGACATGCCTGTTAGTGCAATTGCAACATCCGTTATCTCGCAGCGCAACCACGTTTCTGTGACAGCGATGAGGTCCCAAGCTGCAGACGCGTGTCGAAGTCTTAATTCAGCTAATTTGCTAAACAGACCTTGGGCATTTGTGTACCTGCATGAGCGCTTCTCGGAGACCATGTGTGTGTCAGATTGGATGGATGGAGCAAATTAGTTTACGCCGACCGTTAAAGAGTGGATGTATTTTTTGGATGTGTTGCATACTCTCGAGAAGTATTTGATATATAAGCAGGTATCCGGTACCCTGGATTCCGGTGTTTGCTCGTGCACTGCTGTGCCCTTGCATACAGTACGGCTACTCTTGAAACCGTCCCTGAGTCGGGTCCAGCAGCTGGCGTTTTCATTAAGAGTTGTAAGTCTACTGAATTGTCATTAGAAGGGGTTGGTGTTCCTGCTGCTTTCAGACGAATTTCCGTTGGCAATCTACAACGAAATTTAATCCAGTTTGCTGGTAGGTTTTGTGCCATTAGTTTTGACTGTAACACAAGTTTTAATAGCCTGGGACCTCACCCCTTATAGTTTGGTGTTATGGGGATCCTTGTCAACGAGGTGACCACCGCATTTTCAGGAGAAAGTGCCTCCCGGATGTAGTGTCATTGCCCGCGGTCGTGCGTCTGAGCATCGTCGGCAGAGGAGTAAGTAAGCTCAGAAACACCGTGAGTAATCACTGTTTTCTTAACGACTTTTTCTGTACTTATCTATGTTAGCGGGATCCCCTGAACGTTTTTCCCACGGGATTTCGGGTAGTATGCGCACTTCACTTGAGTCATTGCGGTGGTGCTTCGCAGACAACAGAACGGCCTCAATCTCGTCAACCGAGTTTAGTTTTACCCGAAGTTAGCGGGTTTGGCCTTAGTGCAACGCGTTTGGGTGGCGCGAGATGTTTCCATATTTCCTTGGATTAGCATGGACACCGATCGACGTACAGATGGAATCCCACTGATTTCGACCGTCCGTCAACTTACCCTTACATGTATTGGACTTGGATTCGGGGAAACTTGTGCGTACAATGTTTAGCGCAACACGGTTGCACCTAGTGGCTACTGGTTTTGGATTTGGAGGCTGAGTATCCGGTATTTTTGTTGAATTTGTGAATGGGACTGGTGTGTGCCATTCGTTCTGCGTCCGTTTTGCTTTTTCTAGTCCGGGGACAAAGGTTACCGGTGCTCTTTCCGGTGTTTGCTTGGCGGCAACCGATTCGTACGTTTCCGGGTTGTTCACTATTGCTGGTTGACTGCAGCTTAAGCTCTCGTGTGTAGCGAACAGATTACTAGGTGCAGCACACAGTACAGAAGTTGAGGCAGATGCATGGCATGCACCTTTTTTACTTATAGGTGGGAGAGAGAATGGAGTTGATACTGCTAGAGGCTGAGTTGTTGGGGTTCGTCTGGGACGCATGGCTCGCATCTTTGACCTGACTAAAGAATTCGCGGTGTTATTTGCACGCACAATTGCAGGTCCATTTCCTCCCATTGGTGAAACTCGGGCCCTCACCATTTGCTCAACCGCTTCTGTTAATATTTCACACCTTTTCAGTAGCACAGAGAGACAACTAACAAATGGATTAGACTTGCATACTTGACAGAAGCAAAAAGCCTCTGCCATGTTTGCTTTCGTTGACCTCTTCCCAAGGCAGGTAGTGTGATAAGATTTTAAACACATGGTACACATCAGACTACTTTTTCCCACTTTAGCACAAGATTCGCATTTGCTCTTTATACTAGACATGTTCTCAGTAGGGGTGCTGTCTGCAGGGGTAAAAGGGGATAGACATACTGACGCACCGTTGCGTGGCGATCGGCGCTGGTTCGAGGTCAGCGGGTCCAGGCGTGACAAGGTCAGATAAGTCACACACTTCTTAGGGTAGATAAGCGACCTGCGTGCCAGCGATACAGCTGGTAGAGGGTAGGCAGCGATGCGAAGTAGGATTGAGGCAAAGCAATGTGACTTGGAAAGTACCGTTTAATGAGGAGAATGGCAGTTCCAAGGACGGATCAAATTGACGACTACCGTTTTGTAGATCGGCTTGAAGGAATGATAGTAATCTGATCTGCGGACTGTCAAAAAATCTTTCAAAATAAGACCACAAGAGTGCTTACGCGAAGAGGGGAAAATTAAAACCTCCGTTAGGGTTCAAATACGGTTGATTTCGAAGTTGCAACAGCACAGTTTGCTGGTGATTCATGAATGATAGATCCAATAAATAAAAAGTGATAGGAGAAGCTGGTGGAGCCAAATCGAATGATTGCACGTTGGTCTCTATGAGAATACATCCAAAGATTTGGAGGCGAATAAAGCAGGAGGACAGTTTTTGCGCCCGCTCAGCACAACGCCTAAACGAAATTTGATGGAAACTTAAGGCAGATCTAGCTGCTCTCTTGAAGAACGCGGGATGATATGGGCTTTGTTATCTGCCGTCTGTAAACGTAGGTAGCACACATGCATCTCATGCAATACACACGGATAGGTGAACTGTGGTTAGGTACATTTAAATGGAATTTAGCTAACCTTTGGTGAATTAATGGCTATCTCATAGCAACACGTTATAAAGGGCAGATGGCAAATCGTTGACAGAATGACCACCTTGCCAGGATGGCACCGTAATTTTACCAGACTAAACCTTCTAGTATGGTTGGTAAACGCGTAGTAAATAGAGAGATGTATGATATAGCTCACTGTAAGGGCCCACTGCATTCAATTCGCTAAGAATTCAACTCTGAGGCTAAGCTTTGCCTGGGTAAATGGAAAACATGCAGTATGTACGAAATAGTGGGAAGTAACTTAACATACCTGAGCTCATGCATAAAGGCAAGACACATGGAACGACCCATTGTGTTCCACATGGATTTCCAGGATACAATCGTACGTGAAACCACGAGTTTGTTCCCGCGCAATAAGGAAATGCAAACGTAGTGCAAGCAGCCGAGCCACCAAATTAAAAGTAACTCCAGCAGCGCTATAGGGTTTTCAAATTCTTGAGTTCAGAAGCCAATATATAACAAAAGCTTTTGCTGGCGGACCCCAAATTACTAGCTTATAATCGAAGTAAACATTTTAGTGGTTTTCGTAAGCACTGAAATAGCGGATAGCGAATGCAGCTAGCAATGATGATTGGGTGTTTTGAAGTTGCGTTGCTTATGTATTACAGGTTCACCGATGCAATTTGATTGAATTACTGACACCATTGGAAACATGATGTCGCCATTTATGCAATTGAGTCAGTTCATGATAAGCTTAATAAATTTTCATTCCGAATTTCATACGCCGAGGTTTCATCGATAAGTTATGTTCTGCTAAACCGTAGACAAAAACATCAGCTGCAATTGTAGTGGAATATTCACTTTACAGACACGGTTGGCATGGGAAAGGCCACATGCAATTGTCACAACAAAATCTCCGTAGATTCAAAAGCAAATACTTTGGCTTACGTATTATTGGTATCTCTTAGGCTAAAAATAAATCTAACAAACCATACGGTTTGGTGGTAATACCAAGTACCTTTGATGTAATTTTAATATGTTATTACTCCGAAGAAAACAATGCCGTTCACTAACAAAACAGCGGCTTGATTATTTAACATAGAAACATAATTAAATGTAATAGAATCCATTACATTCCGCTGATCTAGTTGACAAGTATTATTCAGCAATATCTAATTTTTGACCCTCATTTAAAGATCCGTATGGACAAAGGAAAATGCTCATAAGAAAGCTGAAAGTACGCTTTTAACCTCCTTGAAACCGAGACGGAACACAACTGGATTTTTAGTGTCAAGATTCCATCCAAATGCAACAGCTTGTCTAACTATGATCGTTCATTAAACTTTGAGCAGCATGTGATACAATGTGTTCTACGAGTCGTTCTTGCTCAAGGTATGTCAAAGTGTATAGCTTAAACAATAAAGGCAAGATAATCTTACACGATGATGGTCATAAAATATAAGAAATGATGCATATGCGGCTAACATACGTAATGACATGCCTGGCTTCTATTAGACTATGTTGAAACCCTTCAGTATCAATGAAAAGAAAACTTTGATACGCACGCAAATTCTGCTGCTAATAATTCATTCCTTAGTTGCGTACAGTAACTCACGCAGTTCAACAGGTTTTTCCAACTGTAACAACGCAATATCTCGACCAGATAGGTAGCCGAATGAGTGATAATTCGGATGAAGGAATGCCCCCTTGATGCGATAGTCCTGCTGCGTTTTCTCTTTAACGCTAACCCGATGATCACCAAGATGAGCGATTATACCACCAATAATGTGCTCATCTGGAGAAACTAGCCTTCCGGTAGGGAAAAACGGCGCCATGCGGAAACAGTGTGCAGCGGTGACTATCCACTGTCGATTGATCAGAGTTCCCCCGCACAAGGTTTCTAACTCTCCTTTGGCAGTTCCTGTAGTCAGCCGAACCTGAACGCAAGCAAAATGATCACAAAATTGGATATACGTCCGTATGCATACGATCAATGTTTGTGTGGTGTTACAGATTCACAAAGTTTTACGCTTTAGGCTGAATACGATATGATTTTACCCTTATTGGATTAATATTTTATGATGCAAAATATTCATCTTAAAACTTCCGCAATTTAAGCACATCACTTAATATAATTCGAATTATAACAACTTCTATGATATAATGCGCAATGCCTTGGCAAGTGTATAACCATTGCACTCTAGATATATACTAGTACAAATACACACGGTGAGGTAGCATTTTTATGGTTAAGTACTCAAACGTCCGCTTCGGAATTATGGAGCTAAATTCCTGAATAGTTGGACGCATCGGTTGTGAAGCGGTTAGAAGAAAAATGCATCGGATTATCAACCAAAAGCTACTAAAGACAAAATCATTTATGAAGAAAATCAGTAAAGTTCAAGTCTAGCGAGTTTGACTATCTAAACATTACGCCGCATTGAATAGGTTGATTTTATCCGAGTCAAATCGTTAATCCAGTACCGATGTGAAGTAACTATGTCTAGCATTCTGACTAAAAATATTGATACCTTTATCCCAAGAGCCTTACAGCATGACTTCATGGGTGACTACACTTATACAACCTACAAGCTACTGCTGCATCACCAGAGAGCACCCATAGTAAAGTGTCTTTATTTGAGGTTTTGACCGAATTCACACAAGCGAATTAAAATCGGTTTAATATTTTCTATGTTCTCAGGTTTTCAAAGGTTCAGCAAAATTGGTTTCGGACAAGAGTTAGCAAAAGATTTACTTTGTTATATACTGAGCCGCATTCGATCCAGCGAAACGAAACATCGTCTTACAGACAGCCGCTCAAAAACATTTATCCGCATGAAATGATGCGAAACAACATTCGTGAAGTTTACCCATTATTCAGGTCGAGTGAATACAAACCATGTCCGTGGCCTCTTAATCCGGTGTATCTGTAGCCCACGAGATATAGCAAGTTGAAATCACAAAAGGCCTAGACACTAAAATGCATTCGTAATCAGCGTCTGTATTTACAGGTATTCGCATTATCCGAATTTCCTTCGCATATTCAAACATACGCATTCCGCCTACGCCCGCATTGTGCCGATGCGTTTGTATAATCCTCACGTTCCATGTTCAGCGCCTTGTTCTAGTTAGCTTGCAACTTATAACGGTGTGCCACCGATCTCCGTGGCTCTTTGGCATAAGCCGTTGCCTAGGTAGCGCATGCTGCTAGCGGTCAAGTGTTCGGTTTTCCAATAGGGACCGCGGAAATACATAGCAACTGGGTGGTTTTCTGGATTGGTGCGAAGATTGTCGCGCTTGTGTGCTGGTGGGTCGAACCAGTTAAGTCGTCATGGATAAAACACAGCGTTGCGTGCAAATACATGTGTACTGCTTTCGGAATGGGTAAGCTGAAGAAAGTGACAGTTTCAGTGCAACTAAAGAAGTACCGGGAGTTTTCTCTAATGTGTTGTGATTTAACTGATGCAATATAAATTAAGATGAATGAATAATCCTATTGGCTTAGTTCGCAAGCAATATGGAGAAACCACAAGCTAAATGTATACATTGGTGAGAAACGTAATTAAACTCACCGCCCATGGCCAAGCATGTGGCACAGACGCTTCACCACCGAGGATTTTGAAAGAAATTCCAGTGTTTTCTTGTCGGGTACCACAGTTGTCCAATAACTTAGCTAAGAATGCGTAAAATATTTTTAATAAACCACTCCAACATCAGTAATAAGCATTGCCAACAAACCGTGAGATAGGGTTGACACTTTGAGTTATTGCTGACTAATAACGGAAATATTAAAATACTGAGTGTATTTTCCCAATAATTGAATGTATACCTGTTTTGAAAGTGATAGACGACGATTTTAGGCTGCATAATTTCTCCAAAGATTTGTCGTTGGAAAACAAACTATGCATAAGGTGACAACGTTTTCTACGTGCTTGAATGCGTTAACGAAATGTGGCGGCTAAACCGACTGCGGAATTTCCCTGCATCGAATAAATATTCTGCTACTGTGGCCAATTAGAAAACCTCATCCAGGTCACTCAGTGAAGCCTTCATGGCTTTTCCTGCCACGGGCGGATTATCTAAGGAGGTTCAATTGTGATGACGCAATTGGTTAGCCAATGAGAAGTAACCTTCTGGGAAAGGACGCCGACTAATCAAATGTTCTGTTTAGTTGATACTCCATCATTTTAGATTCCATAGACTAGGCTGCACACCATAATCTATGTGATGAAGTTCTACATAGATTATTCGAATCTCTTTTTAATCAACAGGTTTGCCAAATGTTTAATGCCATAAGGTTTGCAAATTCGTCGTTTCGTGAGGGGATACTTTGTCCTCATCACTAGAGGAACGTGGCGATTTACTATATCTAGTAACAGTCACAACCGTCGATGTCTTCCATCATGGATCAGTAATCTTCACCAACGTATATTAAACGTCAGATGCAGGTTCTAGCCTCACAGTGGTCAGATGGAATACACCCTGCTGACAATGCTCGATAAGATGAACCGGCTGTGTGGTTCTTAGTGTTTGATGGCTGTATGATGATTCCAAATTTGTTGAAATTTTGCAAATGAAACCAACTTCAGTTAACTGGTGTTAAGGTAAACAGATACTTTCTGTGCGTTATCTGGTAGGTATGATCGCAGTGTAGGCGCTATTTAAAACAACTAGCACAGGTTTTTCGCTTACAGATTATCCAGCCAAATTATTTTCATTCCTCCAGAGAAACAGTGCGGCATACATTCTGGTCTTCTTGCATAACTTCCTTCCCATCTACGTTGAACATAATATAAGTTCCATGGTGTAAACTAGGCTAGTAAGACATCGTTTCCCCGACAAAATTTACTGCACCAATTGCCTTTTAGTTAACTGTTCATATGGCGCAGTTAACCAAAAATCAACAGCTACATCCACCGTCTTTTTGTGTGATAATTAACAATTCCATCAATCAAATTCACCTTAGCGCTTATCATGGTCATCCAGTCTGGTATTCAGTCATGTACATCTGATTTGTTCAATTCATTTCCAAGAATCGACAAAAAATTGTCATGTTTACAGCCACCGGATATAAACCAAGTCAAGAATGTGTCTTATGCATCCATGAAAGATTAGTATCATCCCTGACACAAACAACATTTATCCACCCTTAGTGCCATTAGCGGTCAACGAATTTCAAAATGGGAAGAGGAAAATGTGACTAGTGTTTTGTCGTTTTCCCGTAGACTGTGAGTTCTTTGGATATACGTTTGATATGTCTTGCAAATAAAACCTAGGCAACTATTTTTGTTTTTATTAGGCTTCAGCAAAGTGCATGAAAAATATACGCAACATACTTCGTTCGTTTGCAACCAAAGAACATAAAAAACTAATAAAATAACATGACGGATCTCGTTGTAACATGTGAATGAATGCTAAAATATAATGAAATTAGCCGGTTCCCAGCAATGTGCAGATTTATTGGACTAAGAATATTAAAGTTTGAACCCCCCTTGACGAAAATTTGTATCTTGTCATTGCCATACTAATATAGGCATTTCTGTAAATAAGGTTTGTACACTTATATGTGGGTGATAGTTAAAATATGTGAGAAGCTCACCGAACCATACACATGCCGTTTGGTTTTCGCATGCTTTCGTCTCTTCATAATATCTGCTTATGCAGTTGGATGCAGCGTATCCGTTGTAACTGTCCCGCTTCCATGAGCCATCGGTACATTCACGGCGGCGACGATGAATGCATTCGGTTTGGTCGCAATCGGACCACTCAGACCAACTTCCGTAACGCTCTCCGTTGAACGATAGGTCATAAACTGGATCGTAATAATCATACCGATATTTCATGGCAACCTCGTCGGGCTGCAACAAATAGTTAATAGATGAACACAGCAGTGATTTGAAAGGGCTGTGTTCAAAACGTAGCGATTGAAATTAAAGTAAAGATCCAGAAGTGTCCGAAGCATTTACACACCACTCAGTATAACATTTACACCAGTGCTTCCCAACTTTAAGGTAATTCCTCCAAATGGGCATAATGGTATCTTACGAGGGACAAAGATAAGTACAATGACTGCATTACCGGAAAAACATGAAACAGCGTTACTAACTAATCTTCCTGTGTTACATCGTGCTGTATTGTATCATCGCAAGTGATTAGTTGTTAGTGACAACTCATCAGTGCTTGATTAATTAACCAGACTGCCTCAGGTAATAAACGTTATTACCTAGGATACAAATACAAGCCTACAACGTAGTGAAGCTAAATGGTGCACCTATCAGCTTAGTCGTCGGACGCTGTTGAAGGAATCTTTCCAGCTACTCATATTGAAGCAATAGCACAACCGCTTCGGACTTCGCGAAGACAATACACAACACAGGTTTCAAAAACACACAAGAAGCAACTTCTTGGACAGTGATTGGTAGCGAGTGTGGAATGGCATTACTAATGCTTTGAAACAGCTGCTTCCATTCGTCATAAATTACAAGTGTGGAATGGGGCCCTCCACAATGGCGGGGACGTAAATATACACAAACAAGCGCATCACGATATGCATTTCTCTATACTGCAAGGAAAGTTGAAAAATTATTGAAACCGATTGGTATCAACCGCCACGTTAGCTCCTATTAGCACTTGTTTTCGGACCAGAAATGTTCGAGAAAAGGTGCTTTCTTTGTTTGAGTGCTAGGAAAGCCGAGAACAATAGTTTAATTTCAAAATTTCTAAGAAATACATGCGGTTTAACTATCGTATTTAAATGCTTCCGAAACTGAAATATTGTGGTTGAACTTGTTTACATTAAACCCACTTTAGTAGTTGGATCCCTAAAAGGTTTGGAATAATTTTTGTTTACCCAAATATTTTGCCGGCACATTTGATCCACACAATGTGATTAATATGGTGTATAACAGTGCCTTAATACACATACATGGAGGATTTAGACTGATTGAAATTCTTATTCCAATCATGTCTAGATGTGACCAAATGTAGCATATTAGCTCATGAATCAATAGTAACAAAATGCAGTAGGTCCTACCGATAGATGGATGTGACCAGTACCCTATAGAAGATTAGAAGTTCCTCAAGGCACCGGCATGCCATTACACTATACGTGTCAATACGCTAATAGCTCAACAGCCCACATATGTAAAGTATGCTTGGTATAATTTTACTTACATTAGCATCCACAGACTTCACAGCAACTTGCTTTGCTTCATCAGATTTTAGTGATGCAATATCATCTCTCCCATCATATCCTAATTCATCGAATCTCAGGGTTCGCCGTTCAGCACCATTCCCATTGTTTCCGTAATTGTCCCTGTGGTTTGCGTGCGTCGGCCAGACACAGCACAGCAAACCCAATAACAATGCATACAGTAAGGTTGTATTCATTTGTTACAGACAAAATTTAGCTGAGCAGGACACGGTTTAGCAGGAATTATTTGTCCATTATATATATCCAGATCCATTGATTTTGCTAGGTTGACACATTCTTGTCTCCGTATTACAAATATTTGCCGGATAGACTCGATTGCCTGAGACGATGCCAAAAGACGCGCAGGCTACATTGTGGGCGTGGTAAACCAGCAAAACCTGTGCCCACCTCGACATCAAAAGGCACTGATGTGGATATGCGTACCACGAAATTGGAACTACATAGCTTTGTTTCATTCTTGCAGTATTCCTGTCATCGATTAAATAAAACTATCGTAGTGTGCTCAGTTGCTATAACTATCTGGGTTAGATAAGTTGACATTCCTCAGATAAGTAAACTAAATAACATTTCTTGCTCAAAGAATCAATTATGTGCAACATTTCCATTGAATTGGAATGTCATCTAATTTCAAATATGCTTAGATTTGACGACTGGTCACTAGTTCCTTTTGGATGACACTGTTAAAACTGGGTGCATTCGTTAAACATTGGGCAGCAGATTCGCTACGCTAGCAGTCGGTGTGTCGTTTATGGCTATAGACTCTTTGGCTTTTTTCAATCACACACTAGTTACTTCCTAACGTATTTGGCTTGAGGCTAACCCTGTAAGAAAAGTGCAAAATTTTATAAAAGTGGCACCTTGTCAATGTATCCAAGCAACTTAAAATCTAAACGGACAGAGTGGTACTGCTCACTTGTAGTCCCTATATGTTGTTCTTTCTGGTAGAGGAAATAGACAGTGTTCATTCTGTCAAAATTATTTTACATAGATCACTAGAACACCGAGTCAAAAATTTATTCTACTTATAATTACCGCCAGGTTAAAGATAATAGCTAAAATCGGCCCCCATACTGTTCTGTTGTGTAGCGTCGCAGGATCATCATCAAGAAATCACTTAGAGAACATGTGCTGCTTTGATTACTGATTGACGTCCTGTCGATTAAGAAACTTTTATTCAACTTGCCTATCATCTATTGCTCCGCGCATTTATTACATACCTCGCTTTAGTGCACTGAACCGCTTTATGCGAATTAGTTATCACTATTATGGTGTAATTTATTCACCTATGCTCGGTACTTTTAAGATTTTACTTTGCTGTTGTAAAGCTAATGGATTCATGTTGTAGCAACGTAACACCAATCTAGGTTAGCCAGCTAGCAAGGGCGCTCAAAGCGTGATTCTACTTGGCATTGCTCATCCCTACCCAAACAAAACATAATGGGTCTTTTTAGTTTGAAGTTAATTATTCCCAAGCCACGTCAAACCAGCAAGTGCATGTGCTATATTGAGTTATTTAAGTCGGCAAATAAATTTTACTCGATGCATAGGTTCGCGCATTTTTAGCGTAATTACTGATGACGACACTCAGGCCTTTGCAGCCAATGCTTAGCCGCAGAACCTAATGACCAAATCATGACCAAATGAGTGTTGGGTTAAGAATTATTTTCAAGTCAACTCTGAGCGGATCTAGACGCCTAAATGGTAAAAATTAGTTGTTATTAGCGTCACGTCAGGCTGAAAATTGCTTTTTGGGTTGTTCGAACAGTCAGTCATTAGCTTAGGGTTGCCATATAGAAGGTAGGAAAAGCAAAGGAAGAAAAGTTCAAGGTAGAATCCTGCATGTCAACCAAGTGATTTGATGACATGGTTGGTCGCCCATGGAAGTACCAACGCGCGTATGCACCGCTTTTGTACACAGTTTGGGCTTCAGATTGTGGATGTTAATAGCCTCAACAATGAATATTAACTGTTAGCGGAGTACTTGTAGGAAGCTTTCAAGTAGAGCATATATGACTTTTACTTCATCCCCAGAAGCTATATGGACAAAATCAAGATGGCGTGAAATAATAAAACTGATCAAAGATGTCATCTATCCTTTGTAGAATCAAGATGGACTTTGCCTTTGAATCCCCTAGGATAAGTGGCCCTCAGTGCGACGCACATGTCCTGCACCACGAAAGCAAGAGTAACAATAAACCGTATTGCATATCTATTCGATTGAAATCGCAAAGTAATATTCATTCAGCAAGTCATACGGGTGGTTTAAATTTACAAGAGTGCACTGAGCCACGTTACACTAGAGACCGCTGAAGTGAAAACGGCTCAAGATTTATGCCGATTAACCTAGGCGACAAAAGTTACGACAGAGTTTAATGTGTTATGATCTAAGCACTCATACGTAAAACAGTGTAAACAAAATACATGCTTCCGTCCCCAATGCCTTAATTGTCTGATTTCTCCTTTGAGCCATCGCCAGCTGCTGAACTACAACAAACTTACATTCTGTATTAAGCTGATTGAGATCCCATAAGCCTGCGCCAGGGGTATTTACTGAGTTTTTCGAGCATGGTTCTGGAAATGTGTATATAAAAATTTACAATTTTACCTGCTAGGTAGTTTGTGCCTTGTTCAAACCTGATGTTCCAAGATGAAACTTGTGATTACCATGGCACGGTTTAATCGCAGGAAATCCTGTAATCCTCAAATTTTCTAGGGTTCTGACAGTCTTCCATACGAGTGTCTGTAGGTGCTTAAAAACGATAGTACGTGGAGGAGCGGTTAGGAGCACAAGATGTGTCAAGCCCAGTTTCATAGCCAAAATGTGCAACCTTCACAAAGTTTGTTGTGAGAAGGTTGGAGATGCGTTACAAACACGAAAAGTTTGTAAATTGTTGAAAAGCTAAAAAAGTGATTAAATGAAGCAATCAAAATACGTGTAGTCCAAAGTTAACCCTCCAGTTAGTCAATTAAGGTTGTGAAAAAATGTTGCCCACCGTGACCCGGTAGCAAAAGGGGTAGTGGTGTGGGCTACTATTCCAATTGTCGCTGGAACGAATCCTTCTGTCTCCACCTGATGAGATGAAATTACATCGAAACGCGTCGTGGTTGTGCAGTGTTTTCTGGTGGGCAACACCCAATTTCCATCTACTTTGAATACGGTCCCAATGCTCGCAGTGCCTAAGGTTCATTTCAATGTGAATCACTGTCCATTACATTGAGGTTGCTGGTCGCAATCCAATCACACAACGTGTAGTACAAACTTGGCACTCAAATTAGCCATTTATCGTTGTGACAAAAAGGGTTGCGCACGGTGACCCGGTATCCAAATGGGTAGTGGTGTGGGCTACTATTCCAATGCTCGCGGGATGGAGGCCTGATGTCTCCACCTGATGAGATGAAATTAAATCGAAACGCGTCGTGGTTGTGCAGTGTTTTCTGGTGGGCAACACCCAATTTCCATCTACTTTGTATACGGTCCCAGTGCTCGCATTGACGAAGGTTCATTTCAATGTGAATCACTGTCCATTACATTGAGGTTGCGTGTCGCAATCCAATCCCACAACGCTTAGTCCAAACTTGACCGTCCATTTATACATTTCCCGTTGTGACAAAAAGCGTTGCCAACCGCGAAAATGTTGTTAGCAT